GAGAGAGAGAGAGAGAGAGAGACAGGGTCTTATTAAATTGCCGGCCTTGAACTTAACATCCTCCTTCTTCCACCTCCCGAGTGGCTGGGATCACAGGTATCTGCCACCATGCTCAGATGAAACTTTGAATTTTTCATAGATACATGTGAGGAAAGATTTTCCCTCTGTGAAGCCATATTCAAACAGAGCAAGAAGGAAGACCACCAGTGGCTCTTACCTTGTAATGGAAGCTGTGGCCGTGAAAGTGCACTGTGTGCAGGTCTATCTCATTGCCCATCCCCATCAGGTACCAGTTGACCTCATCTCCCACGTGCATCGTGAGGCCTCGCAGGTTTCCGAACATTCTCCCATTAATAGCTGGGGAAAGCAGGTGAATGCATGTTACCTTGTAGAATATTTTAAACTGATAGGTATTTCACAGATAATATGATATTAGATGAATGGGGGGGGGAGTCTTTTGGATATAATAGAATGCATTTCACTACAAATGAAGGAAATGGATATTTTAAGGTCACTTATGTCACACTAATGCTTCTCTCATCACCTTGCACTGAAGAAAGCCTTAATCCTACTTATGGATTTTATTAAAAGGGAATGAGATTTTTGGAGAAAATTGGGAGAAAAGTTAGTAAATGATTTTAAATATAGTCCCCTTCAATAGAATTATCCCTCACAAAATGAGGAAAAAATAGTTTACCTAAAATGTAATAAATGAATAGTCTCCAACCTAATTATAGTTGAAAGAAGCAAAGGGTGAAAATGAGGATATTTGTTTTAGAATAATGTATCGTACTGTACCATGCATTTTATTGCTTTCTATGAATTCTTCATCATCTTTTTTTACTCTCTCGGGGTGATCAGAGTATGTTTTGATGTTGTCATCTAAGTACCAAGATTCATTCTCATCAAATACTAGAAACAGAAGGGAGAATTCCAGTTTCTTCATGGGATTGAATACTTTCAGGTAGTGTCTCCGACAGACGATCAGTGGGCCAATCAATCCGCTGTAGAGATCCTGGGGACGAGCAGAAACTTCGGTCATTCTGGAATATAGGTCAGGTTTCAGCAAACTGGGGTCTTACCACCTTTGACCTCAGGAATTTGGGGAGGACCCATTTAACTAGTAGACTTGGCCTAACGTGATGATGCCAGTTTACTGACTTTGCAGTGAAGTGGTTCAGTTGGAACAGTGGTGAGCAGCAGGGTGGTTATGTGAGCGGTATGGAAGTAGAGATGTGCATAGAGGCCAAAAATTAGCTCAGCTAATGCTCAGTGATTTAAAAGAATCCTAAATGAACAGTGTGGGCTTGTTTACACCATGGGCTCATGAACTCATGAATATGAGCCACACTTTAGGCCACTCACTATAAATCCATGGAAGAGTGGGCAAAGCTCCTGCCCTCTAGGAACTCATTCTAATAAAGGAAACAGAAATGAAAGAAATGGAGTAGACATGGGAGTAGTCTCAGCTTCAGTGGAGAATGATGCACACAGGGAGGGAGACCACCAACGCCACATCAGTGAGCAGTTGGATTGGGCTGGGTGTCTGAAATGGCAGGATAGGTCTTGAAGGGTCTTTGGGCTGAATCACGGTAGAGAACTTAAGGTTCTGTCTTGTGCATCATTGGAAACCACTGAAAAACTAGACAGAAAATGGCAGCAAATTTGTTCTAAGTCATTTAGGTGAAGCGAAGGAAGACTTGGAGGGGAAGAGATTGGACGCTGGAAGGACATGGTGTAGTTGAGACAAGTTTCCTGAGCTATGGGGATGGAGAGAAGGAATGGATTGAGCTCTAGGTGGGGGTGGGAGGGTGAATGGTCTGGGTGAGCGAGGGAGAGGCAGGTGCTGGGTAAGTCAGCACCTCTGCATCAGATCTGTGGCCTGGGTGCCTGCCTGTGCTGCTGCTGGTACAACGGAACATGCATAAAGAGGCCAAGGACCCAGCATTCATGTTAGAGTGGCTGAGAGTTAAGGCCCTGGGGGAAGCAGACCAGTATGCAGCACCGAAACTCAGAAAAGATTTGGACTAGAGATTTATTTCTACAAAATAAATATTTGAACAAATGTTGAAATGTTTCATCAAACAGCACTTTCAGCTACTCTGTGAATGACTGCTGAGATCAGCTTTTATATTATCTGGTTGGAAAGAGTGCTGAAACTATGTACCAGCTCTTTGAGTTCAACATATTTTCAAGCCAAAAGGGAAATAAAATACAACATTGATTGATAACTTACATTCTATAAGTATTCTCCACAATCGGCAATACTAGACTAACTATAACTATCTTTACAAACAAATAAACCAAATTAATATAGATTGAATACTTATTTTCCTGTTTTACATAGAACTTGAGCACAGGAAAACACTCACCTTCCTTCAACTGTGTGTCAATTTGGGGGGGGTTGTCACAAAACACCAAATGACTTAACATTTACCTTAACTTGATCCACAGTGGAGTAGTAAACCCATGGGATACAGGGCGAATCCTCTGTGCCAGCTCCAGATCTTTCTGGGATTTTCCATATGTAAGTGCGAATTTCACCTAAATTAATCAGGAGTTAAGCCTTGATAGTAGTAACCCAGGAACTGGAATGCCAGGGTAATACTACTCAAAACTCCTTGCAGGCATTTAGTTTTAAGATTGACTGTTAGATATATTTCATGTCATTTGTGTGTGTCAACTAGGAACTAACTGTTGATGATACACTTGCTGTCATTCAGACAGGAGGGGCTGTTCCAGTATCCTCATTTGAAGAAGCTTTACAAACTCCTCTTAGCTTGAAGTGTTTCCCTCACATGCCAAATGACTGTCCTGCAGGGGCAGCCACGTCCCTGGGGTCATGTCTGTGTGTGACTGTCCTTCTCAACTCCTTTGGCTCTGTGCAGCCCTCCTCTCCCCCTCCTCCCACCACCTGCTCACTGAGCTTGGGTTCAGGATCAGCCCCCCTACTCCTGTGCCTCCGACTTGTCAAAGTCCTGCTGGCCTCCTGTCTTGTCCCATCTGTCTCATTGTAGGCTCTCCTCTGCCACTCCTGTCCCATACAGGGCATAACCATATTCTGATCCTCCTACCTTGCCAAACCCTTACTTACCCTCTTCCCACATCCCTAGGATCTTCTCCAGTCCCATCTCCACTTCCAGTCACCTCAGGGCTTCCTGGGTCACTGATCCTGGACCTGAACTTCCCCCGTGCCCTCTACCAATCCTGACTGTGCTCTTTACTCGCATATTTAAAAATGCCATCGGACTCTAACCTGTCGGAGTCCTGCAGACCTTTACTAGGCAAGTAGGCTAGACCTGAGCATGGTCTTGAGGGATGTGGAAGACTTCTTCCTGTTCTTTAACTATTCTTATGTCGAAATTTTATTGTAAATATAAAGTGTCGATTCACCACCTGAACACCTTACTGTCGCCTCCGCTTTTACTTATTGCAACAAGCTGCATAGTAGCATTTCCTTCTCCCCGGCCCTTCCTCCTCCCACGGCCCTCTTCTTCCCGTGGCTGATGCTCAGAACCTGAGTCCTCCCTGGCTCTTCTCTTCCCCACACTCCCTCTTGCCCCCTTTTTGGCCACTTTAGCAGCACCTTGAAAATCAAACTGGTACCCCAACTTCTTACCCTTTCAGCTGCTCTCCTCTGTTCCAAATCACGATGATTTGGTAGAACTTTTACCCAGATTGTTAAACAAGTTCTTTCACTGGTCCCCAATGCTGCCTTTGCCCCAAGAGTCACCTGCCCACCTATCAGCCAGAACATCCCCTAAAAGGTGTCAGTCATCCTTCTTCTGCTCAGATCCTCGCACAGGTGTTTAGAATATAGACTCTCCATCTTAGTCATGGCCTCCTGGCCCTCCCTCCTCCGTCCCGCCCCGCTGTCCCTGCTTCACATTCTGTCCCTTGCTTGCTCAGCTCTCACCTCTGGGCTGCTTGCTGTTTTCAGGCCAGGCACACTCCCATCTCCCATCTCAGGGGCCTTGGTCTTACCCCACAACTACCTGGGTACCATTGCCTCGTGCCATTTAGATGTCCCCATCAATGTCACCTCCTAAAAGAAGCCCTCCTGATGGCCCTAGAACATCACCCGGGACTCCTCACCCTGCTGGGCCTTCCAAAGCAGTGCTTGCTGCTCCCCATTTAGCTCCCTCCAATCTGCTCACCTCCCGGGGAAGAGCAGGAGGACCACCAGGGCAGGGTTTTTTTTTTTTTTAGATTTCTGTTCCCACTAAATTTGCAAGAGCAACTCTGCAGAGCAATTATTCCTTTTCTCGTCTGGTGTATTTGAGCACTCCCAAATGACCGAAAAAAAAAATGGCATTTTCCTAGAAGCCAATTTGATAAATAATGGAAGAAAATATCTTCTGAGCTAGGTCATGCCAGGTACTGGACTAGATACAGGGGGCAGTTAAAATGCCAAGCAGCAGCCTCTGGCCCTGCTGACCCTGTCTGGGAGACAGGCCCACACACCTCGGCCACACGTAGTGGGGTCAGTGCCACCTGAGGCATGCCCTAGCTGAGCTTGGGGGAGCATCTGGGACTCCCCTGAAGGATCTGCAGCTCTGCAGCCCCTTCCTGTTTCCCTGTTGGCTCCTTTGCCCTAGTAGGAGCACATGCTTGGACACCGGTGCACATGCAGACACACTCCTCGTGTCCCCTCTGAGCCCCCACCTCCTGCTTCACTTCCTCAGGTCACACTCGTTTGGAAGAAATGCCTGTGTGACAGTAGCCATCCATGGAGAGAGGCTGCCGTGTCCCTAAGGTGCTCCTCCCTGTGAATACCTGGCAGTGTTGGAGTCACCATGGGGCTCTCCGTTTTCACCCCGTGGGCATGTATGGAGTAGGGTCTTGTTGCCATGTTTTTAAAGACGATCTTGACTTTGTCTCCAACATCTGCGTGAAGCTGTGGGCCTGGTGAGAGGGAAAGGAAGAGTGGCTTATTCACCTGCTAGATGGAAACTTCTAACTTAGTAATAAAGCCGAGACCAGGTGACTTTCCCAGCATGAGGCGGTCTCTGATCTCCCCTGTGGCTTTGAGCTAGTACTAGCATAGATTTACACCCCCTACTGGAGGTTCTGGGGTAAAAATACCAGCTATGGCTTCCAGGAAAGATGGAGACCACAGTAAAGCTCTTACCTAGAGTTCCAGGGGTAGTGCCTCATCAGGAGAGCTGATGACAGGGGTTCATCCTGTATTACTCACTATCCTCTGGAGACCATGGGAAATCTCTTACCCAGAATTCTAGGGGTAGTGCCTAATCTTGGGGAGCTGGTCCCCCCAGGGGTCTTCCTGAGTGTGAGTTTAGGACGGTTCTTATTGGAGAGGATGGGCTGCTCCTCCCCATCCTGCCCCCGAGCCAATCCCAACCATTTCCTGTCTGGTAGAATTTCTGCCATGCGACCTCAATGCCATTTTCCTCTGGGTGTCTTGCTCTAGGGGCTGAGGATAACCAAGCCCCAGGAAAACTCTGAGGTTGGGGAGGGAGAGAGGGGGGTGGAGGTGTCAGGTGGTTTTCAGATCATTCCCAAGCCTGGTGTGGTCAAGTCGGGCATTTTGTCTTCAGGCGGCTCCTGACCAGTCCAGGGCAACTTCTCCGTTGCCTGTGCATGGTAACACTCGCTTTCCTGTGTGTGGGGGTGTTCTTGTAATTAACCATTTACATCTTAATTTAAAAATTAAATGGCTCGGTGAGAGAGAGAGAGAGAGAGAGAGAGAGAGAGAGAGAGTCAGTCTGTGGGATGGGAGAAAAGGGAGAATTGGGGTAGGAATTTCATTAGGAAGCAGCTTCTTAGGAACTTCACCAAAACTGCATTAATCCACTTGATAAATACCAAATACATAAAAGTTCACCAGTATAAGCAATGATGCATTATTTCTGACAGAAATGATTAATATTTTATTATCCATACTTTTCAATAAGCATAGGCTTCTCTTTTACTGAATAACCTTTTATTTTGATTTGAATAACTGTGACATATGAAAGGCAAATAGAACTCAGGGGCATGGTTTGCCACCCCTCTGACAGGAGGCGTGTGAACCTACCTAGAATCCCCAGGTGCTCTTCCTCAGGTTTTCTCTCCACTGGGACTCGGAAGGTGCTGTCGGTGTATTGCCGGTACACAGCTTTCTTGTACTTTGAGCCTATGTAAAACTCCCCCTTATCTAGAAATGCATTGGAAACACTAAAAAAAAGACAAAAAAACAGGTTAGTATTTGTTTTAATGAAAATGGAATTTGTATTTAAGTTTTAAATTTTGAGTGAAAGTATAGTTTTATTGAAGTAATGTGGCAGTTTTTAGTCATTTCCCAACCCAGTAAAAAAAAAAAAAAAACAATAACAACAACAAAAAAACAAAAACAAAAAACAGGGCTTTAAAGCTAGACGTGTGTGGCAGACAGCACCCCTCGCCATCTGGGTAGCGTCCCTGATCCTGGCCCTCACTTTGCCACTGGCTACATTACCTCCAGCTCATCACGACCTGTTGGAGCCAAGGTTTCTTTGCCCCTAAAATGAGGAATTCAACAGATCATCCCTAGGTTTCCATGCCGCCTAAAGCTGTATGAGTCCAGATTCAGTCAGTGATGGGATCTCAGGCTACTGCCATATTTCTGGATGCTAGAAGCTGCAATGGCACCTTTTCCTGATCATTCCCTGTTCTTAAAATTTTCATGGCCACCTCATGACTCCTATATATAGTGTTTTTGTTTTTTGGTACTAGAAATTGAACCCAGGATTGCTTATCCACTGAGCCACATCCCCAGCACCCCTGTGTTTTAAAATATATTTTATTTAGAGGCAGAGTCTTTTTGTGTTGCTTAGGACCTCACTAAATTGCTGAGGCTAGCTTTGAACTTGTAATCCTCCTGCGCCAGCCTCCCAAACTGCTGGGATTACAGGCATGTGCCACCACACCTGGCTTGCATAACTTTTTAACAGTTTAATCCCAGTCACCAAAATAACCTTTTATTCCACTAAAAATCACAGTTGCCATCATAGTCAAACTAACCAGCCCGCGCTGCCCACCACGGCTCTCCTCTGTGCTGTGCACCCTGGATCTGCTCATCCACGCAGAGCCCAGTCCTCAGATCAGATCATCCAGAAGGTGCAAGATATACTTAATATAGAGGAGAGCACAGTGCTTACTAGGGGTGCCAGGTGATGCTGCTTGGAACGGGTGTTGGAAGCTCTGGTAGCCATCTTTCACTTCATTATGCACACTAAATGTATTCTTATTTTTCTATACAGCACACATCGCTAATGGTTTTTGACCCATATTTTCCTATAAGTTCTTGGGAGGAAAGAGTTCCTAGACTGCCATCAGGCATTTAAAATACTCTTGCATACCTAACAGTTTTAGGAATACAAAATGGGCTAAAAGTGAAATTTGGAAAGAAAAACAAGCAGCCAATAGTTGGTAAATAAAGCTAACAGTGAGCTCTGAATTTGGCCTCTAATTTTGTGTTAGTTTGAAAATAAATAACAAGATAGTGGAAGTTTTCCTCATGAGAAAATTAAGCAGCAATAGATGAGGACAGGTTCTTAGGAGGCTTTTGTTGTTTGGGTTGGTATTGCTGAACCCAAGGGCTTCTGATTCTAAAAGTTGGTATCATTTTCCTCTGGTAGAAAACCTAAAATCACAAAGTGGAAATGAAAGCCTGGCGGGTTACTTTAGCTCTTGTAAGTGATGCAGCTCCTTTTCCCATGCCCTGTGTGGCGAATAATCCCATTCCATCTCCAGGGCTGCCACGTAGTAGGTTCTTTCATTCAGGTAGCCGGTGAGATCCTCAGACTGCTGCGTGCAGCTGCTCACAGTGTATTTCTGCTTCATGCCACCTGTGTAGTGGTCGGTCGTAAGGCACTCGACATCAAAGGTCCCTGGAGTGGGAGAGAGGAAAAGTTGGCTCCCTACCTTACTCCAAATCCATGCCAAAGCCCTTCTTGTGACCTGGTTAGAGGACGTGACCCCCATTTCTGATGGCCTCACCTGCTGTTTACTCTATTGCAGGCTCCTTAGCTGTTCTTAGAAGAGGTTGGCATGTGCCCATCCGGATACCCTTGCACTAGCCACATCCCCTGCCTGTAACCTTCTCCCAGATATCTACATGGTGCATACGCTCACATTATTCAGGTCTCTCCTTAATTGTCACCTTCTGAGGGAGTCTTGGCTCCTGCTCCACAGGTCGCCATCTCCTCCTTGCCCTAGTCTTCTGCTCGTACTTATAACCACTAGATGTGGATGTATTCTTAGGATTGCTTAGTATCTGTCTCCCTGGGATAGAATTTCAGCTCCATGAGACACTTTATCTCCCTTTTTTTTTTCATTGTCCAATGTATTTCTACTTGTCAAAAGAATAAAAAGGGAGTCACTGCATCTGTTTTAAGTTTTAGTGGCACAAAATGAGCCAAATAAATCCTGAAATAAATTAGCATATTTTCGTATCTTGATTAAAATTCTTTCTGGGTTGTTTCAGTTTGGTTGGCTCATTCAGAGCAAGGCTGGTCGCTGTCTGAATTTGCATGGCTGCAGTTCTAGCGGAGAACAGGGCAAGCAGTGTATCCAGGCTGCAGAGACCCTATGGAAAGCTCAGCGTTGGGGCTCTGTGGGGGCCACCCTGCTACTCTGCCTCCCCAGCTACCTTCAAGAGGACCTGAATTAAAAAGGAAATTGCTTGAGGACTCTTCTGTGTGGAATCAGAGGAAACCAGAGCCCCCTCTCTTCTTCCTCTGGTATCCCCTCTTTCTCTCCAGTAAATAGGGAATACGCAGGCCTATGTATTCCTTAAACACCTTTTCAAGGAAGGAAGGTCCTTTGGGAGACTTGAGCCAGGGTGACTTTACCTCCCAACATGTTTGGCTACATGAATCAGCCCAATAGAGTCTTATCTTGGCTCTAGACACACGAACCTGTCGAGTCAGGCTGCATGAGAAGTGTCAGACTCGTTTGTGGGAAGAGATTGGCTGTGTCTCTTCTTTCTCCTTTTGACAGAAATGTGTTTCCTGAAAAGTAGATCCCGTGTACGTCGGCCTCATTTCCAGCACTGAATACGTACCACACGACAGAGTCTCCTAGGCACATATTGAGACCAGGCAGATTCCCATACATGAATCCATTAATCGCTGTAAAAGTTGGGAAATATCCTATTGAGAGCAATTGAGTTTATGACAGTCTCTGACTTCCAAACCTAACTATGTGTTGTTTTTTTCATTTTAAAAGCCCCATTCAAGCCTGTCTGTTCTTTATGTGTCAGGAGTGTCTGTGTCATCCCCAGCACTTCCAGAGCAGCCCCTGACTGGAGGAGCAGAACTGAAGACCTCCGAGTTCTGTGCTATGTCCCTGGCACTCTGGGGATCTCACTGCTCTTCCTGCTAGAACAGTGGGTTTCCGCTGCCATTCTTTCTTCTCTCTGTGGTCATTTTTGTGAGTTCCTAAAACTATGAATAAATACTACTCTTCCTGAACATCATACACTGGGAATGTGTTTGTCTTAGATGAAAATTCTCATCTTGAATGTCAGGGAAGAGTCTATGCAAGGAATTTTTTCTGTTATTTTCAATAGATAATATTTTTGATACTTGCAAAATGCAAAAATGCAGAATCAATAAAATATTTCATAGGTGGTATGACCAGAACCAGTCTAGCTGTAAACAAACTAACCAAAACTTAACTTTTTTTTCCCTCTGTGAGCTACAATAGTTTTTACTATTCTAAATTAGTGGTGTAGGCTTTTTGAACATTAGCTCACTGTCTCTAACCATAACCATCATATTTTAGGATTACACCGAGAGAAAAAGAAAAAGAAGAAATTACACACACACACACACACACACACACACACACACACTGCATTACATCTTCAAATCGAGGCTTCCATTTAATGAAAATTATTCTGGGCATTGGTAGTTTTTAAAGCTCCCAGGTGATCCCCAGGTGATGTTCAGTCAAGGGTGAGAATCATGAGATCATAGGACAAAGGTCATATCTTTTTACATTTAATAATAAAATGAGCCTGTCGTTACTGAGGCATGGATGAGAAAAGTGTCCAACTCGGTAGTTCTCAAACTTGAGCCTATATCAGAATGACTTGGAGGGTTGTTAAATGTAGATTTCTGGGATTTAACACACCAAATTTCTATTTACTGGGTAGGGATTGGGTTTAAGGATTTGCCTTTCATGTCCCTAGGCAATGTGGAGGCTGCTGATAGGGACCCCCTTTCAGGACTATTCATCTAGTAGGTATATCTTGTATGTCTTATATTCTGAGTTAAGTGAAATGATGGATAATTGACTGAAATATTAAATAACCAATGATATTTCCCTCAGAGCATTGTTTAATCATTTGTTGAAATTAATGAGCAAAACTGACCACATTTTGGTTTAATTAAAAGTTTTATGTATTCAACACTGAAATAACCCAAGAACTTGGTGGGGATGTGGTACTCACAGTGCATCTTATTGGATTCCTGGAAGTCTGCATCTTCTTTATCCACCTGATCAGGTGCAGTTGTAAACATTCTAATATTTTCATCCAGGAGCAAACTCTCGTTCTCATCAAATACGGTGGGAAACAAATAGAACTCCTTGTCTACATCTTTCTGCAAATCAGAAGAACAATGAGGTGAAGGCAGAATGAATAAAGCAGCAGACATAAGGCTGTGCGTGCAGACAGGCTAAAGCAAGAACAGACATGTCTGCTCCTCTTTGGGAACTAGAGCTGGTGAAATTCCAGTTGGCTACCAGGGTTTACCTTGGTGTCTGTTGAATGGGATTGTGGTTCAGTATGGTAATCTGAGTTTCTCTCTGCAGCTAAAACTTTAAATTCTCACCTCAGTTCCTACCCATGTGCCCCCCACCATTTGAAGCCACACTACAAAAAAATTACTAAAATTGGGGGGGTGGATACATGTGGGTGATGGAAGTCAGGGAAGATGCATGCACATTTATGAGAACTTCAGAATTCCTGAAGGCAGAGCAGGTGGAAGCAACAGATTGAAAGATGGATCATCCTGAGTGATTAAATAATCTGCCAATGAATTGGAACAGGGATTCACAGTCTCCAACCAGCTGGGCAAATATTCTTACTCCCTCTCCTGCCCCTGGGCCAAAAAAAAAAAAAAATTTAGAAGATGGCAAAGGAGAGCAAACGTTAGAGAGGGTTGCATATCTTTCCCTTAAGATTCCTCTTGATATGAAGAACACAATTATCCAAGTGTAAAACCCACTGAAGGCAGAGATCTGAAGGTTAGATCTTATCGAGAACTGAGTTAAGGAAGGTGATCTGAAGAAAGTGCCCATACATCAGAAGAAAAGAAATGAAGATGAGAAGTACCTTCAGCAATAATTTTAGAAAGACAGGAGTTGAAAAAGGGGGAGACACAATCATCAGATATAGTATCAGGAATGTCCACCAGCCTAAAGAGAAAAAACCACAGAGTCTTCAGATTCAAAAGCTTCACTGGAAATAAGATGAAATAGTAACTACACCTAAAAATGTCCTGGTAACTTTTTTTTTTTTAAATTTCAGAGACAGAATTTCCATAATACTCCATTTAAAAAATATCATCTGAAATGAAATTTTTGTAACATGGAGTGTTCCTGCCCAGCTGATCCCTTTGTGTCCCCCCAGACTGCTGTGAGTTTGTTTGCCTGAAGTTTAGCTCCTTAGATGTCATCTCCATCTTCTCAAGGTTTCGGTTCACTGTCCCATTACTCTATTTTGGTTTCCAAAGCACTTGTCACTCCCTGAAATTATTTATTTTCATTTTTTTCTGTGTTTGCTTATCTCCTCTCTTCTTGTTGCCCTCCCCCCACATAACTCTAAATTGTAAATCTATTACAGCTATAAACCAGCTTAGATGTCTGATTTACCACTGAATTCTGTGCCTAGCACAGGATTTTTTTTTTTTGAGAAGTTCAAGTAATTTGTCTTTTTTTTATAAATAGAAAAACATTCTCAGTAAACTAGAAATAAATAGAATAAAGGATAACTATTTATCCCCCATTAGAATGGGTAAATCCGTCCCCAAATTTGACAATACATAATTTGACTTAAAAAGACATTATTGAAGCTTGAATTATTTCAAATTTGAAAACTTAAAAAAAACGGGAAGGATCAAATTTTTGTCTTCTCCTTCATATAGAACATGTCCCTTGAGATAACCAAATAACTAATTACAGGAACTTTCCACTTTTAGAAAAATGCCAGATAAAGAAAAGAGTAGAATTCAAAAAGATGATGATGATGATGAGGATGACGACGACGACACAACTTCTGATTAGTTTATGATCTAGGAAAAGATCATTGATGACTGATAACATCTCCTACTGAGGGCCTACTATACAGTCTACTTTCTCTGATAGATAGTATTCTTGGCTGGAGCTGTGGCTCAAGCGGTAGCGTGCTTGCCTGGCATGCGTGCGGCCCGGGTTCGATCCTCAACACCACATACCAACAAAGATGTTGTGTCTGCCGAAAACTAAAAAATAAATATTAAAATTTAGAAAAAAAAAAAGAAAGTATTCTTGTAGGACCATAAGCCCACATGGTATAGTAACCTTAAAAGAAAAAAGAAAAAAAACCCTCTGTATTTGATCAAATCTTTAAATCAAGTCACTGATTTATAGCAATTAAGAAGGGAAATAAAAACGTATTATAAAACACCACAGAAAAATCTAGACATAGGACTAGGGTGTGGCTCAGTGGTAGAATATTTATCTGTCATGAGTGGGATCCTGGGTTTCATTCTCAGCACCATTATCATTAGTAGGTGATTTTTTAAATGTTCATGTTAAAAGTCTATTTTTATCATAAAGACCAGGGATCCTATAGACAATCACATTCCCAACCCATCTTCTAACAATCGTGTTAGCAGAAAAATCTCTGCTTAATATACATCTTATAAGGCTAAAAAAAATTTAGAATAAAAGTTTTATGTAAAATCTTCACTGTCTCAAAATTCAGAATTTTCCTTATAATAATGGTAATTCAGAGATTGACACATCATTTTCATTTCCTCTGACTAGACCTACCTGTCTCCCATTTGCATGTAAACTTCCTTTCTTGCATATTTTCATTGGCCCGATAAGCCCAGTGAATATATCTTTCGTGGGATCCACAGCAGAATAATACATCCTAGACAGGCACACGGGATCTGCATAAGTGGGTCCCACTTCCTGGGGGACAGTCCATTCGTAGGTAAAGGTTTCCTTAGGTGCCACATGGGAGGCTGGATGAGGAGGTGGACCTGTGAGGAGGCCACAGCAGGAAGTTCAGTGTTCTTCTTACTGTCACTAGAGCCACATGATGAAATGAGTTTAGGATACCCTACTTCCAGGTTCCTTGTGGTGAATGAGAATGGAATCCTACTAGTGCTCCTGTGTCAGATTAGCAGGTTAGAGTGACTTATTCAAGAAGCTTAAAACTGAATTCAATTGTGGAACTGTTCAAACCTCCCCAATTTACACTTCAGGAAACTGAGGGCAGAGAGGCTGAATAAACCAGCCCAGGGTCACATTGCAAGTGGTGGCAAAATCACCAGTCTTCATTGGTCACCCTTGAAAAGTGAAAAGCTCAAAGATATCCATATTCTGGTATATTTTGCATCATTAAAATTATATGTATAAATACTTACAATGCTAACAGAACAAACTCTGGGTGCAAAACTATTATGATAAGTATATTTATATATTATCATGATCATATTTAAAATATATATTATAGTGCATAGAAGAAAGTGAAGGAATTATATAAAATGTAATCGTGTCTATAGAACTATGGATAACGCATATTTTTGGTTATACCTTTATGTATTTTTCCAATATTCAAAAATGAGCATCTGGACGTCTTTTAAAACTTTACATTGCTGATGATTGGTTGAAGGGGGCCATACTCACTTTCCGTCGGGGGATTGTAATGTTGTGCATAGAACGTGCCCTCATTCTCCTTGCTGAATCTCACTCCAGTTGGCTCGATACTGAGGGGGTACGGTCCTTTGTTATAGAAGGTGACTTTGATGGTGTCTCCCACTTCTGCCCAAATGATGGGACCTAGGAACAAAGGGAGAATTATTGGGCTTCATTGCTATATCATGTGCAAAAATGAATAAGCATTATTTTCTTCGGCTGTGTCCTCTAGCAAGTACCACTGGAAGCAACATGCTTATTTGTGGCAAACTGAAAAGTTGGGTTTTTAAAAAAGTTCATGGCCAATCTGACATGGTGAGATTAGGAAAAGGTAAGAAGGACTTTTGATCCAACTTCAGGGTAATGAAATTTGTTATCATTTTTGCCCAAGTTAATAATAGACTTTCAACATCCATGAAAAATTGTACTGAGTGTCTACACATCTACAAAAACTTATTTGAAGTAACTATATACTCCTCAGTCTAGTCTTCTGCTGGCTAAATGTGTGTCATTTGTCCCAAGAGTCAGTGGGTTCTATAAACCATGACCACCCAAAGCAGCTTTTTAGCTTGGTTACAAAGGATGACCCTTTCAGATTTTCCATCACTAAAATTAATATTATTACCAATTATGGAATAAAAACATAGTTCTATAGTATATAGATATTTTGCGTAATGGCCAAACTGACCTTTGAGAGCTTTCTATCTGTAGTTCTGAGTATTTACATGTAATAGCTCATTTAATCCTCACTACGATTTCATGAGGTAAGCACTATTATTGTTCCCATATTGCGGAGTCAAGCAGGCACAGAAAGTTAAGTCATTTCCAAAATCCCCGCAGCTAATAGATGAAGAAGAAGGGCGGGCATCTAAATCCACACTCTGGTCTTCCACTAAGCACATCTGGAGGCTGTCCTGGGAACACCTGCAGAGGGCTTGGGGTCACGCCCGGCCTTCTCATTAGTTGCTGCATTTTATTGGAGTTTGACTCTCTGGGTGCCCAGTTTTCACATGGAAGTCTATTCTTTCTGGGATTGGGGGTGAGTATCCCCAGCCATGCATATTCTCTGCAGACTCACCCAGGATGCCAAGATGTTCCTCCTCTGGGCCTCTTTCCTTTTGCTTTGTGAAGGTCACATCTGTGTACTCACGGTAAACCAGCTTTTTATAAGAGCCACCAATTCTTGTAGAACCTTGTTCAAAAAATACCCTTGAGTCACTGTCAAAAGAAAAAAAAGGTCTGATGCTGGTGTTGAAGTGAGACAGAAGGTGTGTATTCACATAAGGCCCATATAAGAAAAAAATCCTGTTCACTGCCTCAAGATAAACATCACCTGAAATGAAAAGTTCAGGAGGGTCCTTGTCCACCCTTGACAGTTACTGATTTGTTCTACAACAGAATCTTTGTACTTAGTTATGAAGTGTTTGAAAACACAGTAGCTGCAGTTTGTCTTAGAGTTGCACCAGCCAGCTGATGGAAACTTTCTTTCATTTGCTGAAATCCACAGGCCATTAAGTGGGAATCATCCTCCACATTTACAAATGAAGAAATTAAACTCCTGAAGGGCATCTAACTAGCACAAAAGCACCCCATTCATCTCTTCTTTCATTTGCAAATGTGTTGAATATCTGCTTTGTACAGGACCCCTGTGATATGCTGATGATATGCATAGTATGTATGAAGGCTGATATGCCTGTCCACAGGGACCTGACATTTATCAGAGGAGTGACTATGAAGCAATCTCGATACTATAAATGCAATGAGCACAGGGTGTCAAGGAGTCATTCTTGCTGGGGACACGATGCAGAGGGGCCTAGGTTGCTCAGATCTCCCAGGGAAGTGATTCTTTAAAATATCTAAAGGAGAAGTAGTGATACCAAGATGAAATGTGTGTGGTCTGATGAATGGGGCAGGAGATTTTTGTTTGTTTGTTTTTGAACTAGGGATTGAATGGGTTCTCTATCACTGAGCCACATCCTCAGTCCTTTTTATTTTCTTGTTTAGAGACAGGATCTCACTAAGTTGCCCAAGCTGGTCTCAAATTTGGGATCCTCCTGCCTCAGCCTCTGAGTCACTGGGAACGGCAGGTGATTATAACGAAGAACAGTCTGTAGGGAGGCTCAGGGAACAGGGATGGTCTAGGGAACACGGAAGAAGCGAAACACGTGGGGCATGGCGAGAAGTAAAGAATGAGGCTTGGAGAGATGGGGGCTGGGTAAGAGGACCTAGTTAAGGGCAATGCTGCAGGACTTAAGCATGGGTGCTTAGTGTTTTAGGAGGACCCTGCAGACAGCTGCCTGGGAACATGCCAGACTGCAAGAGGGAGGCCAATCAGTGGGTTGCTTTCAGTGGAAGGTGGTGTTGACTTCAGAGACATTGGCAAAGAGGAGGAGAGGATTAGACAGCTTTCAGAGATATTTAGGATACCCCAAGGTAATGCTTGATGGGGGAGGAGGAAGGATTGGTGGAGGAGCAAGGGAAACAAGGATGGCACTCAGGCTTTGGACTCCAGCATGTGGACAGATGGATTCACAGGTAGTTGGCAATGTCATTCGCTGAGAGAGGAGGAAATAGTTCTATGCAGGAAACAATGAATTCAGGTTTAGACGTTCGGAGTTGGACGGGCCTCCTCCAAGTGGAAGACCCTTCTGGGTTGGAGATGAAGCTGTGGGAGTCACCACATCCGGAAGTCAGGGGAGCCTGGGACTTAAGTATTCAGGAGCCACAGACATGAGTGGAGCCAGCAGGCCCAGGTACCAACTTGCTGTGTGATTTGTAAGATGTGTGGCAGATAGGGCTTTTCTGAGGCACTGATGCCTGAGCAGAGCCCTGGAGCAGGGAGAAGCATAATCTCATGGCATTCTCCAACCATTGTCTCATCAAAACCACTATATCTCCTCACACACAAGAGGCTACTACTAAAAGAAGAAGAAAACAGCAAGCATTGGTGAGGATGTGGAAAAACTGGGACCCTTGTATGCATCTTTTAGGCCTATAAAATGGTGCAGCCACTGTGGGAAACATCTGGATGGATCCTCAAAAATTAAACACAGAACTACCATGCTGTCCAGAAGTCACACTCCTGTGGCTACCCAAAAGAACAGAAAGCGGGAAGTGGAACAGGTATTTGCACACCAATGTTCACAGCTGCATTAGTCACAAGAACCAAAACGTGGAAACTACCCCAATGTCCTTTAACCAATGAATAAACAAACAAAATACAGTGTACACTCAAAATGGAAATATGGTTGCATCTTAAAGAAATTCGGATACATGCAATAACGTGGCTAGATCTTGAAAACATTACACTAAGTGAAATAAACCTGACACAAAAGGAGAAATGTGATATGATTCCACTTATATGAGTCACCTAGAAGAGACAAAGTCATAAGGATAGAAAGTGGAATAGAGTTGTCAGGGGTCATGGCAAAGATGGAATGGGGGGTTTTAATGAATACAGAGTTTCCATTTGGGATGATAAGAAAGTTCTGGGCATAGGCAGTAGTGCTGTCTATGTCTAATGTTGTACAATATTGTTGACATATTCAGAGCTGCTAAACTGTTTTCAAAAATGCAAAGAAAATTAATCCATGTCTCTAAATGCACTCAGTGTTTTCTTAGGACTTTGTTGAGCATTTCATAACATTTGAACCCATTTTTTTTGGATAGACTCAAATGTCCATTCTCAAACACAGACTCTTATAACAAGCAGCATAAATAGTAGTCTAGCTATTTGGTATCAATACTGATTAAAATTTTAATTTGCTGAATCAGTTCTTTATGATTTTTTAAAAAAAATTTTGGATGGAGCAAGTTTTGAAATAATAATTTTGGGGGGACTACCTTTCAGGAGCTGTTAAATTTTCTTTGGTGAAGATATCTATACCGGAGGGAGCATAATTCCAGATGATTTCCTCAGCAGCAATATAGTAGTGTCTCACGTGTTTCCCCCGGATGTTGTCTTCGGAGGAGGGCTTCCTACAGTTATGAACCTGGAAAAATGCCTGCAAACCGGCTGGGAGGACAGCAAAGAGGCTTCATTAATGGATCCAAAGTATCTCTCTCCTATTCCCCTGCAGATGCTGCTGTGAGTTTCATTTAGAATCCAAGCTTTTAAAAAGACATCTTTTTATGCACATACAGCTTAGAGACATTAAACACATGTGTTTCAAAAATGTGGTACCAGTTTATGTGGGAGGGCACTGGGGAGTTCTTTTGAGGAGGGAAAAAGGACAAATCTATAGATAAGGAAGGAAGAGGGACTCTGACTATCTCATGGGGTAAAGGCAGGAGAAGGAAGACAAGAATGAGCACAGACTATTGTTCTCACAAAATAGCTCCACACCTGCTGGGCCTCCTGCGAATCAGGCAAGTTTGCTACAAGCAGTTGTGTCTGGAGTTCTGGGTAACAAGGGAACCTAGGTTATGCCTAATTTCCTTGGGAGATCAATCTCACAAATAGTTTTCAAAGATAGGGAATATTTTTAGTGCCTTCTATTAAGGAGACACAGGAGGGATTTATCAAGTTAAGGAAAGGAATAGGTAGTCAAAAATAAGGAACAAAGCTGGTTACACTTGACAAGCCCAAAACCAGGCTGGTTATCAGCATAATATATGGATCTGGTTTTTCCAATATTGTATGTTTTGCAAAACTGAAAAACTGTATGCAATATTATGCTTTCAAGGCAGGACCAATTATCCTTTTCCAGGACTTATTATCTTTTCAGACCTCATTACTTTATAAACATACCAGGCTTTCAGTTTTTTTATTACACCATGATACATATCATTATGGAATAAAACTAGGATATCAGTTCAAAGCTCAGATTATTCCAAGGACATTTTGCAGTTAGATTTTAATTCCTCATGATCACCCTGTTAATGTAGCAACTGAGACATAATTTTAAAAAAATTTTTTTTCAGTTGTAGATGGACACAATACCTTTGTTTTATTTATTTATCTTTATGTGGTGCTGAGGATCAAACCCAGGGCCTCCCATGTGCTAGGCGAGTGCTCTACCACTGAGCCACAAATCCCAGCCCAAGATACATAACTCTTATCAGCTGACAGCCAAGTTCAAGTAAGGGTGTCCTACCTTTCAGATGGTTTAGGTTCTGGCAGCTCAGCATCCATTCTCCAGGGTTCTGGGCCACCATAAAAGCATCAAACAGCGTAGCAGGGAAGAGATGGATTGTGTCCACACGGTAGTTCTTGTTGGTCAGTGCTTGCCCATGGAAGTAAGCTGCATGCACATCGATCTCATTACCCATACCAAAAAGGTACCATTTTACTCTGTCTTCTGCACACATGGAGAGTCCTGGCAGACTTCCAAAAGTGTATCCATTTACAGCTGCAAGTGGAGAGCAGAGTTTGTGACTGATGACCAAGGATGCCTGTGATAGTAATATGTTACCTCCACAGAAAAAGAATCAGCTCAGGTGCAGCTGTTCCTCCCTCCCATTTCCATGTCACACATGGCTGGTTGATGGCAGAGCTCCTCCATTTTGGATCTGAATTCAGACTGAATTCACTGAAGATAAAACCTATTTGCTCTCTTAGTCATCAACTATACACCCTGGTTGTAAGTATGATGTGTGTTTGTAAATGAAGATGTGTTCATAGACACATGCATATATATATAATACCTGCACACATACCGAAAAAAGATTGAAGGTTATTTAGTAGTCAACCGATTTTTGGTCATGTTGGTAGGGGTAGTGTGGATGATTTAAAGTTTTTTCTTTTTGCTTACCAGAATTTTTCTAATTTTCTACTATAAATTTCTTTTATAATAAGAAAACAACAAAAGCTTTTACATTTTTTTTTTTAAGATTACAAGGCAAATTTGAAAGAGATATGAAAGAGGAAAAGAAGAATGCAGGGAAGGAGAGCCAGGACCAAGGACCATGGCCCCAAAGTCATAAAAGTTACAAGTTGTGTGACCTGAGACCTGTATGGGTCATTGTTCAAACTGGGTCATTTTGGAAATTTTCTAGGTAGAAATCAGTTCTGGGAGGGATCGTCAATTCACCAGATGATTGTCAATTCACCAAAACCTATACAGACTGGAAGTTTGAGCATCTTTTTCTAATATCTGTTTCTGTTAGCACATAGCATAGGCAAGATCAAAGTATGGAAAGGGGACCCTCGAGTCAGCCCTGGTTTTTTATAAGCAAAAACTGCTCCAGTTTTTATAAGCAAAATCAGCTCCAGTATTTTATAAGCAAAAACTGGAAACTAAGGACATGTATGTAATTAGTTTATTTTTCTACTTTGGAAGTTGTTTTCTTTGTTTCTGAGAAGATTATTTTGAAGAAGCTAAACACACACACACAAAAATCTATTCTTACTGGCCTTGTTAATGTTAAGGTATTTGATTTCTCATGCAAGTTCTGAGGGAGAGATTATCTTTCTAAATTCATTATTTTGTGTCTGAGGATTAAGAAAAAGAGTAAGTTGTTAAAAAAAAAAAGGCATTTGTAGAAGATGGAAAGTGAACTAAAATATTGGAATGATGTAGACAGGGCCCTGTTGGGGGCAAGGTAGCATTTAAAAGGATACTTTTTGGAACTAGGGATTTGAACTGTTATCTTAATTACTGATAGGTACTATAAAAGTATAATTTTTAAGCATTTGGTTTAATAATCAATTGGCCACCTCAAATAATTTCTAGAATGGGCTTGGAGGCTGAATAAATACAAAAATGTAATGTTCACATGCATTAACTCTAATTTTACCCTTATTAGTTTGTGGACAGTTCGTTTATCTAGCTTAGCTGGTTTAGGGTTTTAATTTTGACCTGTTTAGATGGAGTCCAGGTCACGTGTCCAGTACACTTTGTGATCAAGGCCACAGATTAGAATGCATTGCTTATGCAAGGGAATCAACCTAGCAGAATTGATTGCTCATGGGAAGCAAAGTCAAGTGGAGCGTTCTGTGCTTACAGTACATCCTGTTGCTCTCCTGGAATTCCTCATTGTCTCTGTCCACTCGGTCTGGCTCCGAGCAGTAAGCTTTAATGTTGTCTTCTAGGTACCAGCTCAGGTTTTCATCCACCACAGAAAACATCACCACAAATTCTTGATCGATGTTCTTTTCTTTCTCCTTATCTAGAGAATCTGAAGTGAAAATTTCTGCTTCAGTAGATCTAAAATTTTAGCATTTGTTTTGACTTGTGTTTTCAGGTGATTTATAGTTTTTTTTTTTGTTTTAAGTGTAATATTCATTTTCCTAATAAGCTTCTTATCTGGACCAGTCACTTGTATTCTGTAGGCTTGGAAATGGTATCCTATCTTTGGGGTTTGGTATCCTGCCTTTGGGGTCACTGGTGTATCTGCACATCCACTGGCCACCTCCCTGTGCTTTTTGGCAAATGGGAAAGTGGGCACTCGGCATTGCCTCTCCATCTCCCGGTGCACAGAGCCACATGGTGAGACTTTGCCAGTGCCTAATGATTGTCAATCATGGAATCTGAGCTCTTGTGCTCAGGTGCCCTTTTCACTGTATTACAAATAGATACCACCAAGGCTGTATTTACCAGCATTGGCCCCTGGCATTTTGCCAACAGTATTGATTGACAGGCGAGGCATTACTATCCGCCTGGGCTGCTACTTTTGAGTTCTCCTGGGGATTCCCGGGAGTTCCCATTGGATGGAGAAGTGCAGGAGGAGGGATTTCCGGGGATATATTTCTGGTGGCTAGTTCCTGGACAAGCCGGGTGGCATTAGGGAGGAGCTGCTGGTGGAGTTCAAAAATAAAGTTTGTTCCTGCTTCAGTGGCTGGTGATTTGTGCCCAGCCAGACTGTGGCACAGCGTAATGCAGATGATTACAGATTTGTCCACCATAGATTGCCACTGGAGGGGGGCGGTCACACGTGGTTAAGTCATGCATCTCTGCAGGACACCCCTGCTGGAGTTAGAGCAGACCTACCCCCAGGAGCCCTGCTTTTCAGGCTTTCCCCTTGCCCTTGCTAGCCTTCATCTCCTCTCCTTCCCCTGTTCTAGGCTCACCCCCTCCCTCACCTCTTCAGCCTCCATGCAGGAGACTTGATGGATGTTTAAAAATAAACCGCGTCCCTGTCTTTGGCCAGTCAAGAGAAAGGTACCTTTTTTACAGACTATTAAAGGTCCGATGAGCCCCGAGGCAATGTCTTTGGGAGCATCGATGTGGGAATGGTAGATCCGTGTCACACAGTTGCCGTCACCCTCCCCAGGGCTGTGGTCCTCGGTGGCAAGCACCATGTACGTGTAGGTCTCTCCCGGAAGCACTTTGTCATCTGCTCTTTGAAGGTTGGTGGTGTTATCAGGGTAGATGGCCCCTAGGAAGAAGCATCATTGGAATTGGAGGGAATGTGTTTGAACTTCACCATGGGTATACAAATCGGCCATTAATTCCTTCAGTAAACATTCAGCATCTCATAAGTGCCCTCCGGGATACAGTGGTGTCCTATTTGAACCCTGAAAAAATTAGAAGCTAATGGCTAGGAGGTCTAGAAGCTTCACAGGAACTGTTGTTGTTATTTTTTTTTATATATATATACTTGACTGAGTCTTTAAGGGGCCATAATAGATATGTAAGGAGGAATGTGACTTTTACTTTATAATTTAAAGAACAACTTTTACTTTGGGGTCACAGTATGAAGGTTTGAGCAAAATGACTACCCTCTCCTACCATTTGAAACTTGTGACACGACATCAGGTTATTGTCTGTGAAGTAACTATGAAACTTTCCCCAAAATGTTTTACACTTAATTTTGGAACATTTTAAGCATGCAGAAGCTAAGATGAATCTCTAGGTATCTCCAAAAGTCAATGAGTCTTTAACATACCTATCAACTCAGTGCCAGCAATGATAAACTCAAAGCTAGTCTTGTTTCATCTGTAACCCACCCACTCTTATCCCCAGCAATGTTGAATTCTTTTAAAAGACATTCCAGACATCATATTTCATTTATAAATGCCTGAGTAGTTATCTCTAAATGATAAGAACTTAAATTTTGTTTAACAAAACCACAATACCATTATTACACTTTAAAAATAAATGCTCATTTTCTAACATGCTGTCTCTTTAGAAAAAAAAAAAAAAAAAAAAAAAGATGAGCCAGGCATGGTGGGGCACACCTGAAATCTCAGTGGCTCAGGAGGCTGAAGTAGACAGAGAATCGTGAGTTCAAAGCCAGCCTTAGCAATTTAGCGAGGCCCTGTCTCTAAATAAAATATAAAAAAAGGGCTTGGGATATGGATAAATCCCAGTACCAAAAAGCAAACAAATAAATAAACAACAACAACAATAACAAAAAGCCAATAATCAGAACTCATCTAAATTCTTTTCCAGACTTGGTCCTTATAATGTCAATGAACTGTAGCTTGACCTCCACTTTTGTTTATGATAATAGCTGATGTTTATTCAGCTGTTACTATGAACTCTGATTAGCCCTATTTAATAGACAAGGAAACTGAAGCACAGACCATTTAAACTTGCCAAAAAACACTTGGACACTAAGAGACAATCCTGGGACTAACCTTGGTCTATTCATCTCAAAGCCCTTGCCTTGACCATAACAAAATACTACCTCTTTTCATGTCATCAAGTACAAGTTGAACAGTCCTAATGCAAAATGCTCCAAAATCTGGAAATTTTTGAGGACTAACTTGAGGCGACAAGAAAATTCCACACCTTGCAACTTCATTTCATGCACAAAATTATTGAAAAATGCTAAATTATCTTCAGGTTATGTGTATAAAGTATATGTGAAACATAAATGAATTTCATGTTTAAAATTGGGTCCCATCCCTAAGATATCTAATTATGTGTATGAAAAAACCCAAATTCAAAACACCCTGGCCCCAAGCATTTGGAATAAAGAGATCCTCAACCTGTGCTAAGAATCAGATCACAGGACTAAACCTCACCTGTGTTCTTCACACTCCACCCTAAAAGCTGCCAAGTGCTACATTCAAATGCTTTTCTGCTAATGGTGCTGCAGAGGTGACTCTAGGTCACCCAGCCATGGGTACTGTTTGGTTGATACTATGAGACTGCTCATGCCACCTTCACTGGGGTGGAGTACATCCAGAGTTAGGATGGCAGCCATATGTGATCCTGGGTAGGGATGTCAGAGTAAAGGCAGTCTGCACCCCCACTTCTTTCTCTTCCCTTTGGATTTCCACCTCTTCTAGGCTTTTAAAAGTTCTTTTTAAAAATCTTATTTATTTATTTATTTATTTAAATTGTTCTTTTTTTAAAAAAAATTCATTTTACTTTTTTTTGAGTTGTAGTTGGACATAATACCTTTATTATATTTTTATGTGGTGCTGAGGATGCAACCCAGGGCCCCACACGTGCTAGGCGAGCGCTCTGCCACTGAGCCACAAACGCAGCCCTAAAATTGTTCTTTTTAGATATTCAAGACAGTAGAGTACATTTTGACGTAGTATACATACATGGAGTATAACTTCCCATTCTCGTGGTTAAAGATGATGTGAAGTTACACAGGTCATGTATTCACATATTAGCATAGGAAAGTTGCGTCCGATTCATTCTACTTACTATCTTTCCTATTCCCATCTTCTTTCTCTTCCCTTCATTCCCCTTTGGGAATGGACTTCTGTTCTTCTCTCCCTGCATCTGAACATACTTATTTCAATTAGCATGATAATCTCCATTTTCATTCATTTACTGGCAAAGGCCATAATTTCATTCTTCTTATGGCTGGGTAATATTCCATTGTGTATATATATATATATATATATATATATATATATATATATATATACACCACATTTTCTTTACTCATTCATCTCTTGAAGAGCACCTAGGTTGGTTCCATAGCTTAGCTATTGTGAATTGAGCTGCTATTAGCATTGAAGTGACTATGTTCCTGTAGTATGATGCTTTTAAGTCCTTTGGATATACACCAAGGAGTGGGATAAGTGAGTCAAATGGTGGTTCCATTCCAGGTTTTCTGAGGAATCTCCATTCTGCTTTCCAGAGTGATTGCCCCAATTTGCAGTCCCACCAGCAATGAATGAGTGTGCCTTTTCCCCCACATCCTCACCAACACTTATGGTTATTTGTATTCTTGATAATTGCCATTAAGGTACATGGTCAATTTCTCTCATTCTGACTGGCTGGAAGGGAATTGGGCACTGGCCGGAGGCTCAGGGACTCTCAGTATCAGAGTCTACCCGGAAATCCAGAACATTCACTTACACAATTCACACAATCAGGAGAAACATACATCCTAATGATGAACCCAAATTAACCTGCTATTAAAATAGTTCAGATCTAAATGACACAGTTACAGGTCTCATCCAGGAGGGGAGTCTACATTTTAGGAGTTTTTATACTAAAAAACAAAGGAAAGGAAATCCCAGGTACCATGTGAGTTGAACTTACCCTCGTGTTCCTTATAGTAAGTTAATCCATGTGCATGGAAAGTGTAAGGCCTAGAGGCAAAGTTTTTTAAGTGTACATAAACTTTATCTCCAACTTCAGCTTTGATGATAGGGCCTAAAAGCCCGAGCCAGGCTGGCTTTTCTACGGTTGTCTTAAAGGTTCCATCTGTGTACTGATTATAAAGGGCCTTTTTGTATGTTCTTCCAATTCGGTCTGGGCCGTTTTGAAGATAGAAATTGAAATGCTCTCTGCAAAGAAAAAGAAGACAACTCCATCAGATGCCAGATTTTCTGGGGATAGCAAATAATGAAAGAGAAACAATATAACCACATGGCATTAAATATTTGCCCATTGTACAAAAGCAGAGGGCTGGCAGTTAATCCTGCTGCTTTAATTATGTGAGGTGTTTCACGTCAGGTGACGGATATGCCATTTGAACAAAAATATGTTCCTATAAAGACAGAGGTTTTATGAAATAGAATACAAAATTAAAGTGAAATATTGGGCTGGGGATGTGGCTCAAGCGGTAGCGTGCTCGCCTGGCATGCGTGCGGCCCGGGTTCGATCCTCAGCAGCACCACATACCAACAAAGATGTTGTGTCCGCCAAGAACTAAGAAAAAAATAAATAAATGTTAAAAAAATTCTCTCTCTCTCTATCCCCTCTGTCTCTCACTCTCTCTTTAAAAAAAAAAAAATAAAATAAAGTGAAATATTAAAATTTAGCATATAACGAAGGGACTTTTCACTATGATGCTTCTCTTAGCTATAGGAAAAAAAATCAACTAGAGTTTATAAGCAATCAATCTGGATATTTGAGACTTCAAAGTTTGTAAGTATATATCTAAAATTAGTGAAACTTTATTCTCTCATTTTTATTTCTTTTAGCACCCTTAAATCATGGCCAGAGTTTATGTTCGCAATATGTGTGGGTTTTAAAATCACCTTTGGATTTGAATTAGCTTTGTGGGTTTTTTTTTAAACCCTTATTACTACAGATACCTAACCATTGAATGTTTATATTCTGATTAGTGCTGATTATTAGCTGCTTAAGTCTTTCCTAAATATATCAGCATACTAAATAGTATGGGGGGGCGGGGAAAGAAATGGAAGTCTCAAACTTAAGCTGATTTTTACGGTATTGGCCTTAACTGAAAGTTCTGGATGGCTCCATGGGACCCATCTGTGGGCAATGCCATGTGGACATGTAAGTCTGGACTTTGAACGGCCCCTCCACAACACAGGTGTCTTCCACTTGAACAAAACCTGCTCACACTTGGGCTGACGATCTTGAGTTTGTATTTGTGTGTGTGAGTGTGCATGTGTGTGTCTTGCCTCCTTCATCTCAGTGATCCTTGACCTGTTACATTTTCCACTAATACTTGTGGGCCTGAATCACCTGACTGAGGAATAAACTTTGTCATGCATCTTCAGCTGCAAACTCATTGGAGGGAGTAAACTGTGAATTTTTTCCTTCCCTTCTTCAACAAAAACTAGGTTTTGTCCAGGAGCTCTGGAATTTCATTGCTGCAGAATTTAAAGATCTTGTTTTCCAAAAGCCCAGGGCTCTGGCTCAATGTTTCTCAAGTTTTCTGTGCATAGACATCGATGAGGCATTTTGGTGGAGTGCAAATTCCTGGGGCCTAGCTTCGTAGTTCTGATCCTGTGGGCCTGGGGCTCAGGCAGTTGCCCTTCTTAGCTGACATCCTGGTGGGTTCTGGAACAGGCGGGTTGCGCTAGGTTCAGGGGAAACCTGGGTAGCAGAGCTTCTGAGGTTGAGGGGAAGAGAGTAGACCAGTCCCAGTGGAGATGGGATTCCCTGATACCTTGAGACCTACGGGTGCAAAGTTCTGTTTCCAGGCCATACCCAGGTAGTGGCCAGACCTCTTCTGGTGGCAATTGCACAGATTAGGCCTGAGTGCTGTGGTCAGGGAGCATGGGGACGTGCCGATGGTCCTGGTGGTTGAATGTGGGCAGAGAGAGCAGGCATTGGTAATAATAGAGCCATCTTCTTCTGGTGGCCGGGAGCTCCTGCTAGGAGCACCTCATAGTCACCAGCACACCTGGAACCTCCATTTTCCTGGATTGCATAAACCCCAGGATCTCTAAAGGAGACAGAATCGTTCCCTGAAGAAATTACTGAGATGGTTTCCTGGTCCCTCCAAACCCATCCTAGGGGGAAGACCAAGCCGGAAGCTAGAAGAATAAAGTGACATTTCTTTTTGTATGCCACTTTCCCCCTGTTTGTTTTTACCTTTGGGTTGTTTGCTGCAGTTTCCCAGTCTGTTAGAGCAAAACAGAAAACTAACTGGGGATGGTTCAGAAAGACTTCAGGATGTGGAAATACGTGGAAAAAGAGCAGAGCACAGGTGTGGACTCTTCCCCAAACCCAGGAGGAGTTTGGACAGGAGGACAGGAGGCAGCATAGTGAGGCACCGAGAGCCCTGAGATTAGAAACAGAGGTTCATCTGCTCATTCTGCTGAGAAGGGTCTGACCAGGACAATTTGGGTCAGGCACACACACACACACAGATGCAGCTTCAAAGTCTCCTTTCTGGTCCTGCCAGAAAAGCCTTGGGCAGACCCATCTCACACAGGCTTGTCTAAATCCCAGGATAAACTTTCTTCAACATCTGGACACCATCCTATTTCTGAGATACAGTATGATGATATTTAATGGAGATTCTAATCTGTGCTCCACCACCCCCTGTTGATGGCACATCCTTCATAGAACAAAGTTTAAAAATAGTCCTTCCAATCTTAAGTGTGTTTTTATGTTTTCTGAATGTGACTCAAAAGCACTCAGGTATACATCACATCCCATTTCAATAAGATATAGTGGTCTTTGTTAAAATGCTTTCATTGTATTTTTCTGTATGAATCATTTCTCCAAAATAGAAGGCTCATTGTCCAAGATTTATGATTCATTTTTTTTTCTACACTGAGTTTTTTGGGGATGTTTATGAGAAAATTACTTTTAAAATTGATCTGAAGCCATAATAGAGCCAGAGTTTTTAATATTTGGGTTTTTTTTATACATTGCAGTATGCAAACTGTTTTTCCCATCTTGCCTTTTGATTGGGAAAGTTCCCCTTCACAAATTGGGAAATATTTCACCTTGTGTGGTAGTTTGGGGGAGGGTCTTTTTGCTCATGATCTATCTCCAAAAGAAAATCTAGTGGTCATTAGGGGATGTCTATTTAATTTCAAGAGCACAGCTTGGGGACAAAGGGTCAGTTACTGGAAGTTGGCAGGAAGTTTGCCATCCAATATTCAGACACAAGAATTCATTATAGTTAATCCTTGAACCAAACAAATAATTCACATTTAATTGTGATTCTTCCTGTTGACAGGGGCCAAATTCTCCTTTCGACTCACTACAGTGGATACGCTTCCCTCCTAGTCATCACATTTCCTAGTTTTAGTGGCAGGGGGTTTGTGTGTGTGTGTGTGTGTGTGTGTGTGTGTGTGTGTGTGTGTGTGTGTGTGTCTTTAGTAAGATAATAATCATGCTCTTCTTCTCATGAATCAGAATTCACTTGAGTGAGCTTGGTTTACGTTTAGACATTGTTGCTAAAACTTGGGTGCTACAGGTAAAAGCTTTTGGATTTTGGATTTCATTATTTGAGACCCGATATGTTAGATTTTTATTGCTCCATAACGTACTCACCCAGCAGTATGGAGTAACGCCTGTTCGTAACCTCCCAGTTCTGAGGCAGAGTCTGGCACCCTATGGCTGTCTTCTCTGTTCAGGGCACCCCAAGGCTGAAATCGAGGGCTTGTCTGACTGAGTAGTTGTCCAAGCCCTTGTGGAAAAACCCACTTTCTAAATTACGAAGCTTGTTGACAGTTGGGGTTGGAGGACTGAAATCCCTGTTGGCTTGTGGCTGTCAGCTGGGGCCTCTCCCAGTTCCTGAAGGCCACCCCACCCATATGCCTCTCAAGTGCCCCTTCCACCTCAGTCAGCAGCAGTGTGTGGAATCCCCCAGTCTCTGATCTCTCCACTTTCTCTTCTGCCACTAGAGGACTCCCCTTCTAGATGAGGCCGCCCTGGCAGCCTCCCTGAAGTTGGCTGCCACAGAAATCCTGGGGTTAGAGGGCAGCTCATCCTCCACACCGGTTCTGGAGATTTAGTGTGGAAGATCCTTGGGAGGCCATTTTAGAAACTCTGGCTACCACAGACAGGAATCCTAAGGAAAACAGGAAGTCGGCAGAGACTCAACAGGTTCCCCTGAGTTGTAGGTCCTGACTGGCCTTGCTTCCCCAGCACAGCGTGAACACACCACCTAATGGCCAACCTTGCTTTGGCTCCATTCATGGGGCCAGTGGAAACTGTGGTAATAGGTTGTTAGCTTGAAAAGTACGAAATGTTATAATTTAATTATCTCCTTCACACAGGCTGTCTTGTCTGAAGTGTCTGCAGCACACTAGCTGTGACTATTTGGGCACTTGGCAACCTCAGAGAATGAGTCATTGTAAGTGAAATTTTCAGAAAATTTTAGCCAAAAATTGTAGCTAAAAATTGTACCTTCTTAAGTATCATTTTTAAAAACTTTACATTATTTTTGAAAAGGCATTAACATAATTGGGAGGCCATTAGGCAGAGATGGCTCCAGTACCTTGGGTTCCTACAAGCAAACCAAAAATCAATTTAATGTAAACAGTACTATAAAACTTAAGTCTACTGGCCTCAGCAACTTAGTGAGGCCCTAAGCAACTCAGTGAGACTCTGTCTCTAAATAAAATACAAGAAAGGGCTGGGGATGTGGCTCAGTGGTTGAGTGCTCCTGGGTTCAATTCTTGGTACCAAAAAATTAAAATTAAAACTTAAGTCTAACCAACCAGAAACTGCCAACTAACCTCTAAGTAGGACCCTTTCTCTTCAGTTCATCAAACAGTTCTCTTAATTTGACTTGCAAAAACACCTCATAAAAGTATCCTTTCCTTCACCTCATGCCCCAGTAAACTGTTTGGCCATATGATGTGGCCATATTCATGAATGCTGAATGCTCAGATAAGCTTGAAAATGTTTTAATGTGTTTATCTTTTAATAGGAATAAACTAAATTCTTTCACTTCAAGTTTTCTCTCTAAAAAATATTTTGGTTGCTTCCCTGTTTTCTTAAACAAGGGCTCTACTGGGGTAGGTCACCTTTTTTTTACTGATAATCATAGTAAATATGAATATTGTTGAACACTTTTGTATCCTAATCACTCAACATTATTATAATAATTATAATTACACCATGGAGGGAATATAGTTTTAGTTTGTTGTCTGTTTCTTTGTTCAGATTTTGAGCTATTATTTTTCTTAGTCTGCTTATATTGACATCTTATTTGATATCTAGCTCCTTGATCCACTTTGAGTTAACTTTTGTGCATAGCGAGAGGAGGGGATTCCATTTCATTTTGTTGCATATGGATTTCCAGTTTTCCCAACACCATTTGTTGAAGATGC